ATCATGAGACTATACAATTTATCTCTTGAACACAAGAGACTACTTGGGATTCCATTTTTTTCGTTTTCTTGATTTTTGGCTGACCTGCGCATGTTGTATAATTGACTCATGTCCCTTGGTAGTTCAGAGCTGCTTTTTACATTCATCAAATTGGTTTCCTTGGAAAGAGTCCTCATCGCTTTTGATGGCTTCTGATTACCGGCCGTTGTTTTGATCTTCTCCTTTGTTGTTTTGTTAACAGGAAGAAAAGGTACAGCTTTGTCTTTTTTTATTTCCATGGGCAAGTACTTTAAATGTTCTCTCCTGTCCTTTGACAAAGCGATACTGTAAAATGGCTAGGCCAGAGTTAACAGCATTAGAGGATTCATCCACAAAGGTAAAGYAGCATTTTTTCTGTACGTTCTCTTGATAATAACGTACTCTTTGGCAGGATCTCGTTCTTCGGCTTTCAGTTTGCCCTTCTTGACGAACCTCTTGATTAAGCCACCACTTTCATCTCTACCGACTTTGAACACCCACGTTGAGTTCCATTGTGTTTATATGTGCCATTGTCATCTGATGAAAGATCCTGTATCTTTACTGAAGAAGTACTTATCTTGGACATGGAGGGGTTGATGTACACAAATGTAATCTTTGGAATACTCCATTGACAGAATAGTCATGCAGTCATCAAGTGATATCTCTGGAAGCTTTCCTTTGAAGTACAAGGGCTGATTATTATCACTTTTAAAACATGTTGGCGGTACACTTTCATCTGGTATCCAGGTCTCAGTTTCCCTTGGGAAGAAAAAAAAATTATTATAAAATTTAAAATCTATGTATAAAAACGATAAAAAATATGGGATCGGAAATTGTGAAAGAAGCAACATAATATATCTAACAGAAAAAACAGTGCTTTTAAACAAAACACTGCATAAAMAAACATAAAAATGAAAAAAAATATATTCAAACTGAAACCGTATCTTACCAAAACCCATCCAAATGCCAGCAATAATTAAAATGCATAATTAATATTTTTATTGACTCTGTAATGACATCGACAAGAATTGATATTTTTTTAGYATTTTAGTGTGAGACCATGTAAACTAATCAAGCTGCCAATAGCAACATAATTGTACTGTCATATAATCTAATTATAGTAGATTTTGCAAAATGATATCTTTGCTGTGATAAATAAAATCCAAAAATCAAAATAATTTTATGTCATTTACATTTACATAACATTTTTTTTCCTGCTGTGAAATGTGCCAGAAAAGTTCATATATATGAACCTACAACCCTGAACCTGCAACCCTGGTTGGACCCARATATACTTTTGGTTTTGTGTCACTGACCAAAAGAAAATGCAGGCTCAGGTAAAAGATTGGGTTGGACTGTGTTAAATAATGCTCAATCATTTTCCTATATTAGGTTAKTCTTGAAAAATCTTCAATATACCCATAATTACTGTTTGGTCTGAGATTCTGCTACAATTTTTCCACATTCMTTGAGATAAAGTGGAGAAAAAAAGAATCAATTACTAGTAATAAAGAACACTTAATTATTAAAATATTACTACTTTTAAAATAATTATTAAAATTAATTATTTATTTTGATAATTATTTTATGTATAAGCTGCTTATTTTATTATTTTATTTATTTTAATTATTAAAATATCACTACTTTTTCATCACTATTTTTGTAAGAATGGGTTGATTGAAATATTTACCTCCGCAACCTTTTCTTGGCAGGAGATTCTGGAGGGGTCTTTATACTAGTAAATAACAAAACAAAACAATGAATACCTCATCTGCATGCCTCCAAATTAAAACTACGGCTACTGGCATCAATTTAAATATTAGTWATGTTCTACACTGCAAAACAATGTACCAAAATCTATGCACTTTGTCCACTGTTTTAGTTTTAATTATTGAGCAGTCACCATAAAAGTATAAATTAATAACAAAGAAAATTGTTGCTAAAGGTTTGTTGTAAAATAAATTGAGCTCTTTTACAATATATTATTACTCGGTTTAAAATAAAACCACGAAGAAGCCATGATAACATAATGTTCTTCTCCTGGTATTTCTCATATCATATATGCAGTCAAATAATTAAGAAATTATGCATCTATCTGAATTATTTATATACCTTGCTAGACTGTCAATATCTTCTCTGGAATCTTCAAGTGGATAATCTTTTTCACTAATCATAGAAAATCAGATAAAACTGTTACATATACATATACAATCATATACAATCAAATAATAAGAAATTCTGCATCTATCTGTGTTATATATAGAGTATATATCTTGCTAGACTGTCAATATCTTCTCTGGAATCTTCAAGTGGATAATCTTTTTCACTAATCATAGAAAGTCAGATAAAACTGTTACAAAACGTTTGGGAAAAAATTAATCAACAGAAACACAGAGCCATGTCAGACAAAAGTAATTGTAGCTTTGACTTCTTTTCTTTACTGGTGACTCCATTTGTTCAAACGTTTTACAGAGTTCTTTCAGTACACTAAAACAAATACAGTAATAAATRCATTTAAATTAAAYAATAATAAAAATTACAACAACAAAACAGCAAAAGCAACAATAATATTAACAACAAAAATCACCTTTTCTGTCCATCATGATCACTGAGATCATCATCTTCATCATCATCAATGTCAAGTATTTCGATAATAGGTACTTTATTCTTATTGCTAARTAGAGAAAAATATAAATCACTAATATGATAGCAACATGGAACATTTTCTTTGATACTATCCAGCAATAAATAAACACACAAACCAAATAAATAAGTACATGGAA